CTTATTCTACTGGATGTCTTGGTCCATTTTCTGCTGCTATAAAAGAATACCACAGACTGGATAATTGATAAAGAACAGAAGTTTATTTAGCTTATAGTTTTAGAGCCTGGGACATCCAAGAGCATGGTACTAGCACCTGGCAGGGGTCCTTTCATGGTGGACGGGCAAGGAAGCATGTAAAACAGAGGTTAAATGGGGACCAAACTTCGCCTTTTATCAGAAGCCCACTACCCCAGTAATAGTCACTTCCATGATAATAACATTATGCATTTATGAGGGCAAAGCCCTCATGAGCTAATTACCTCTTAAAGTTCCTGCCTCTTGACAATGAAATGACAGCAATTAAATTTCCAATACATGAACTTTGGTTGGGCGGTGTATAATCAAACCACAGCACTAGACTTATGCCATTATATGGAAAGAATGGATTCAATATTACTAGCCACTTACAGAACACTTACTACATGTTAGGCTGCATTCTTTCACAAGGGTCTATTAGTCTCCTCACATAAGGAACTGCTGACTGGCAAACAAATAATCCTACAGCAACATCAAACACAAGAGAGCCTTCTAGAGTAAGTATCTTAGCTATGACTGACTTTTACATCTCTTTTCTTCTGTATTTGGGTATAGGCCACATGCAGGAACACGTGTATGAAACCTCTAATCTGCTTTATAGTATTTTCCCTCATGGGCATTCTACACAATAGGTTAGTGGGCTTTCAACTTTTGTCAGTATGCAAGACAAAAGTCCTATGTTCTGTTTCTCTATGCTCTCATTTGAGTTTCTAGGAACAAGTGTTGGGTTACACTGTGGTCAGGCTGGCACCTGCTTGGCCCTCTGGTTGACCCTGTATTATTTTTGCTAAAAGTTTGTTTTCATTGTTTTTTTATTTTTTTGTTTGTTTTTGTTTTTGCTAAGAGTATTATCCTAGTGTGTGCTTCTTTAACTACATTTTATGGATCTATACTCTGTTTAATTGTAATTATATAATTAACAAGCTGAATCACTTACATTCCCAGATTATGTTACAATGCTCCCAAAGAAGACTGGTCTGGGTATGTATGCATACTAGGGAAGCAAGGCATAGGACTTGAACCCTAGTATATACTAACTCCTACACAAAAATTATTAGATCAGGTCTACTTCTTTCTTCTATACTCTGAGGAGTATATTGGAATATTCCTATAAGAAGGCAAACTTTACAAAGGTAAGCACTATGCCTGTGTGTGTGTGTGTGTGTGTGTGTGTGTATACGTATTTATTGTAACATATCTCATATATTTTATATATAAAAATACCCAATATAAATCAGTGAACAAAATAAAATTCACTGCCTGAGAAGAATCTTTTCCATAGTGTAAAAATAGTAATATTACCATTTTCAAATAAAGATCTGAAAGCATAATACTTAAATGCTATTGGACTTACATTTTTTTCCATTCTGTGAAGTTATATTTTGAACTCCATTATCTGCTACAGTTTACTGTGGCAAGGAAACTGGCAAAAAACAGAATACTATGGATATTCTGAAGACAGAGCCCTCTATGTACAACTAGACAAAAGGAAAACTTCACTAACTAGAATATTTAGAAACTGAGGTATTATGATTAATTTATGACTAATTTTCTGGTTTACAGAGAGCTGAACAGATAATCTCTTTTCCCTCTATTATTGTTGAAATCTTTTCAAGTGATTTTCTAGGCTGATGTGTCATATTCCTCTGTGTGTGATGAAGAAGAAAAACAAACTCTGAAGTCTAAGTAATTAACAACCTTTCCTGATACTTACCTTTTTTTTTTTTTTTTTGAGATGGAGTCTCCCTCTGTTGCCCAGGCTGGAGTGCAGTGGAGTGATCTCGGCTCACTGCAACCTTCACCTCCCTGATTCAAGTGATTCCCCTGCCTCAGCCTCCCTCCCAAGTAGCTGGGATTACAGGTGCACGCCACCATGCCCAGCTAAGCTTTTTGCATTTCTAGAAGAGATGGGGTTTCACCATGTTGGCCAGACCGGTCTCGACCTCCTAACCTCAGGCAATCTGCCCGCCTCGGCTTCCCAAAGTGCTGAGATTACAGGCTTGAGCCACTGTGCCCTGCCTCCTGATACTTAGCCTTGTGCTTTTCATTAGACAGAGAAAGCTATCTATACAGGTGTGCGAAGAAAGTTAGAATAGGGAAGCTGTGTTTGGTTCATGCAAAGGTACTGAATAAAAGAAAATCCTATACAATATTTAGTTAAGAAAAAAAAGGAATAGGGAAGCTGTAAAGCTTTTCAACATGGTAAACATTTACTGACAGTTTACTATACAGTAAGTCTTCACTAGGTTCTTGGAAACTGAGACTTTAAGTGAAATAATGCATAAAAAAATCCAATTTTACCATAGGCCAGTTGATAAAGATGAGAGTTAATTTCCTGTGGCATATTTTTAGTCACAAAACATCACCATAGCTGAGAGTGGTGGCTCACACCTGTAATTCCAGGACTTTGGGAGCCGAGGTAGGCAGATCACCTGAGGTTGGGAGTTAAAACCAGCCTGGCCAACATGGTAAAACCCCAACTGTACTAAAAATATAAAAATTAGCTGGGTGTGGTAGGGCACACCTGACATCCCAGCTGCTCGGGAGGCTGAGGCAGGTGAATCAATTGAACCCGGGAGGTGGAGGCTGCAGTGAGTGGAGATCGTGCCACTGCACTACAGCTCAGGGGACAGAGCAAGACTCCATCTCAAAACAAAAACAAAAGTATCACCAAACTTCTAAATAAAGACCCAAAACACTTCTAATAGTAAATACCAAAATAAATGTGAGCTATATATACATCTAAGAAAGACTGATATAAACAAGTAAGATAATCGTTTACCCAATTTTTAGTGAATTATTAGATGTCAGTGGTTATAGTGGTGGTGAATTAAATCAATAAATAAATGTTTGGAAAGTGAAAACTAGTAAGTACCTCCTCCTACCATGAAGTTCAAACATAAACAATAATGAATGCAGCAAGCTCACTGAGAGCTTTTGAATTGTGTTGTTTATCATCTACTTTATGAGTTTTTATTTCACAATAATTTGCATTCATTCATTTTCTAATATGCTTATTCCAGTTCAGGATGGAGGATGGTCAGAGACTATCGTGGCTGCTCTGGGTGCAAAGCAGGACATCCCGGACAAGATGCCGTTCCATCTCAGGGCACACTCACACACATCCACTCAGACTGGGACCATTTAGACATGCCAATGCTCCAAAGATGTACATCTTTGGGATATGGGAGGAAACTGGAGTACTCAGGGAAAACTCAGACAGGAAGAACGTGAAAACTCCACACAGACAGTGGCCCTAGAGGGAAATCGATTTGCTCCTGCTCATCAATGTTATAACAAAATGATGTTGAACAAAACAACACAACTGAGACAAGTGGGTGGAATAGGTGAAATTACATGTAAGAATCTTGGGGAAACATGGGAAAGCAGATACAGAAGTAACATATATAGTTTAAAAACAACATAGTACCTTTTTCCAATATTTTCACCTGTTTTAGTTACAGTATTTAATGTTCTGAAATTCCAAATAATATTAAGGTAGGGCACGTGTTAAAAGAAAAAGAGAGGCTGGGTGTGGTAGCTCACGCCTGTAATCCTAGCACTATAGGAGGCTGAGGCAGGTGGATCATCTGAGGTCAGGAGTTCGAGACCAGCCTGGCCAACATGGAAACACCACCCCTACCAAAAATACAAAATTAGCTGGGTGTGGCGGTACATGCCTATAATTCCAGCTATTCAGGAGACTGAGGCAGGAGAATTGCTTGAACCTGGGAGGTAGAGGTTATAGCCAGCCAAGATCAAGCCACTGCACTCCACCCTGGGTGACAGAGTGAGACTCTGTCTCAGAAAAAAAAAAAAAAGAAAAGAAAACGAAAAAAAGGTTGGGAAACACCAGTGTAAGGGAATTTTTAAAAATGTAAAGAAGTTATGAGACTGGATTTTTTTGTCTCCAGATAAAAGTACATACGGAAGGCATTTGATGAATGTTTTGAATGGAATAGAATAAATAGCCAGAATAGCAAGATGGTCTAAACTTTAAGTGAAAAAATAAACTTGTAAATCCCCAAACACAGTAAGATACCTTTGCTACTCAGAGCAAAGTTGCCTTAAACAATTAAAGAGATAGGATCTCACTGTGTTGCCCAGGCTGCTCTCAAACTCCTGGGCTCAAGCGATTCTCCCACCTTGGCCTCCCAGGAAGCTGGGACTACAGGTGTGCACCACTGCGAAGGATGGATAAGCACATATATTTTTATTCTGACATTTTATGTTTCCAGCTCTTACTACCTTTGTAACTATCCATCCTTCATCTCCATCTTCTGCTGTCTTCCACACAACAAACATAAAAGCAGGAATATATGCTCAGATGGAGAACTGCTATGACCCCTTGAGTTTCTTTCTCCACAAACTGGGCATACAAACACAGCTAAGATTTTCAATTTAGAGGTTTTTGCTTTTCAATTCCAGACACACCTCACTTTATAACATTGTCATAGAACATGTTGTTTCCTATCTGCTGTCAGTTTATAAATCACTGATAAGCTCCAAACCAATCAGTTCTCACAGCTGGAGGTAAATGGAAAGAATGCCTACAGGGCCGGGTACAGTAGCTCATGCCTGTAATCCCAGCACTTTGGGAAGCCAAGGCAGGTGGATCACCTGAGGTCAGGAGTTCGAGACCAGCCTGGTCAACATGGCAAAACCCTGTCTCTACTAAAAAAATACAAAAAAATTATCTGGGCATGGTGGTCGGTGCCTATAATCCCAGCTACTCGAAAGGCTGAGGCAGAGAATTGCTTGAATCCAGAAGGCGGAGGTTGCAGTGAGCCGAGATGGTGCCACTGCACTCTAGCCTGGTCAACAAGAGCAAAACTCTGTCTTAAAAAAAATGCCTATAATACAGGCCCTCCTGCCCACCAGCTCCACATGTGATGGATCTGCTAAGTCCAAGAAAGACCTACCTCGAGCTTCAGAACATCATGCTGAAGTTTACGTTGAAATTCCAGGAAGTTCTTGATTGTCAGCTTTCCCTTCAGATCAGCTCCAAAAAAGTAGGTTGTGAGGGCTGAACACAAGCCAGACTTGAGGGTGTTGCCAGTGGTCGGACGATCTCTGTGGCGCATACCCATACTGGTTTGGGAGCGAATGATGCTCTGAACCTAATACAGAATCAAACCCACAGCCAGAAAAATATTAGGAAATGAAAAAACATAATAGAAAAGAATCATAACTATTGTTTACTATTTTCCTACTCTATATTATAATTATCTCTTTTAATGCTTACAACAATTTTTTTTTTTGGAGACAGTCTTTCTTGGTCATGCAGGCTGGAGTTCAGTGGTACAATCTCAGGTCACTGCAACCTCTGCCTCCTGGGTTCAAGCAATTCTCATGCCTCAGCCTCCTGAGTAGCTGTGACTACAGGTGCACACCATCATGCCTGGCCTTTTTTTTTTTTTTTTTTAATTAAGAGGGAGTTTTGCTCTTATTGCTCAGGCTGGAGTGCAGTGGTGCAATCTCAGCTTACTGCAACCTCTGCCTCCTGGGTTCAAGCAATTCTCCTGCCTCAGCATCCTGAGTAGCTGGGATTACAGGTGTGCACCACCACACCCAGCTAATTTTTTGTATTTTTAGTAAAGTCAGGGTTTCATCAGGTTGGCCAGGCTGGTCTTGAACTCCTGACCTCAGGTGATCCACCCGCCTTGGACTCCCAAAGTGCTGGGATTATAGGTGTGAGTCACTGCGACCAGCTAATTTTTCGTATTTTAATAGAGACAGGGTTTCACCATGTTGGCCAGGCTGGTCTTGAACTTCTGACATCAAGTGATCCTCCCACCTTGGCCTCCCAAAGTCCTGGGATTACAGGTGTGAGCCACCATGCCCAGTCTATGATAATCTTATAGGTCCTATTATCCTCATTTTATAAAGGAGATTGAAGCACAAGGAATTAAATAATTTGCTCAAGGTCAAGTGACTAGCAAGTGGCAGAATTAAAATTTTAATACAGACAGCCTGACATCTTTATAACTAGTATCCTCTTAGAAAATCTCTGTTGAGAAAAGGATGAACATTTGTATTTGAGACTCAAAAACACTCTCACAGCCATGCACAGTGGCTCATGCCTGTAATCCCAGAACTTTGGGCAGCTGAGGCAGGCAGATCACTTGAGGTCAGGAGTTCAAGACCAGCCTGGCTAACATGGTAAAACCCTGTCTCTACTAAAAACACAAAAATTAGTTGGGCGTGGTGGCGGGTACCTATAATCCCAGCTACTTGGTGGGCTGAGGCAAGAGAATAGCTTGAACCCAGGAGGCAGAGGTTGCAGTGAGCCAAGATTGCAACACTGCACTCCAGCCTGGGTGACAGAGCGAGACTCTGTCTCTTTGTCTCCAAAAAAAAAAAAAAAAAAAGAAGATACAGGTCTGGGGTGTGCAATGGCATGATCATAGCTCACTGTGACTTCAAATTCCTGGGCTCAGGTGATCCTCCCACCACAGCCTCTGGAGTAGCTAGGACTATAGGCACATACCACCAATCCCAGCTAATTTCTTTTCCTTGTAGAGACAGGGTCTCACTATGTTGCCCAGGCTGGTCTTGAACTCATGGCCTCAAGTAGTTCCCCTATAACCTCTGCCTCCCAAAGTGCTGAGATTATAAGCATGAGTCATCGTGCCCAGCCCATCTTCTTATTTTATATAATATACCTGATATTTTCTCCCACTTCCTGGAATATTTGCCCCTTTTCTTCATTTTGAGAATACAAAAAATGCTTTTTCCTATACATATAGTTTTTGTTTGGAAACCACTTCTGGCAATCATAATAACTGTATTTGGAGAAATACCATGGTTTCCTGAAGGCAGAAGTTCTATGGAAACATAATCTATTCCCAGGATTTAGAAGAAACTGTCACCTACTATAGTCAAAGGTATGGTACCATTTTTCCTTCTCTTATAGAAATCCTTTAAGAAAATAGGTAGTCCTTGTATTCAGGAACTGCCATTTACCAAAAACTGCACACAGCAGCTTTTTGGTAAATGTTGAATTGCCATAATTTAGCTTCCTAGCTAGAGGCATTATAACCTAATTTATGTTGGGGAATTGGAGCAACCGTGACCTTAATGGTACATTCAGATAATCCATTACATTCAGAGTGAAAACAAAGAAACAAAACCACCCTGTTCAAAGAATAATTTTGAGAAATTACATTTTAGGTACTTCAAAAATTGAAACAGCCACTGAGTACAATGACCAAGGTTAGGGTCACTCCAAGGCACATGAAAATGTATTTTAAATATTAATGTATTTAAAGGAACTCTCCAGGACAACTTGCCTGTTCAAACTCCTCCATATCTACTTCTCCATCTCCATTCAAATCAAACATCTTGAAGGCAATTTCAAAATTTCTCTGAGGAGCTACAAGTAGAAAGGAAGAAGAGGAGAAAGGGTGAGAGAGAGAAAAAATACTTAGAGGCATTGACCAAAAATAAATCCCTTTTAAAAGAAAAACAAAAGGCTAAACACTAAAATATAATATCAAAGTCACCATAAAAGTGAACGAGTCAGAGTCTCAATAAATGGAAAATGATACTGCATTTCTTGAGATCAACCTTTTAAGACTACTCCTTGAAACCAAAAACGAGTAGTACTATGGCCAGTAAAGATGGCACTTGTCTGTCTTTTTGTTTCAACATTCTTTGTCTTAAGTAGTTTAGCTTTACTTTCAGAGACATCATCTTCTTAGTTGTGTAATACTAATGTTGTTCTTTTGCTTGAATATGTTATTATTTATCTGGGCAAGAAAGTGTGTCTGGGGTGAGACTACTGCTGTAAAGAAAGAAGTTGAAACACTATATCTTAGTCTTGGCCTCACAACAAGCCAGCTTTCTACTTTGTTCTTTCTAGTCTCTTTATTGCAAGTACAATCAGGAGTCCTGAGCATGTCACCCTGCCAATATGGATAACTTCAAGTTGATTTCCTGTATTAGTTTATTCATTATCTCTACAGCTCTATGGTAAGGCAGAAAAGGGTACTGTAAGGTACTCAGCCCCCTATTTCTTTCTAGAGACAGTTTCACTCTGTCACCTCTCCCTCCCCAGGCTGAAGTGCAATGGTGCCATCTTGGCTCACTGCAACTTTTGCCTCCCAGGTTCAAGTGATTCTCATGCAGCAGCCATCCGAGTAGCTGGGATTACAGGCACACACAACCATGCCTGGCTAATTTTTGTATTTTTAGCAGATATGTGGTTTCACCATATTGGCCAGGCTGGTCTTGAACTCCTGACCACAAGTGATCCACTCATCTTGGCCTCCCAAGCCACCGCATCTGGCCTCAGTCCCCACCTTCAATCATATCAGCTCCATACACAAATTACTAAGTATACTTAAATGGTAAAATTAAGCTGAAGTTTAAATAACAAAATGAAAAATGCAAAACTTGACAAGATGATATATTTTCTTTCCCTTAATGATGAAAGCTCTTCAAGGCTTCTTCAGTGTTCCTAGATCAGTCACACTCTAATTAATACACTCTGTGCACTGGAATAAAACATAAACTCAACAGCCTTCCTCCCTTACTGTACTAAATGTTCTGGCAAAGAAAACTTAAGTTGTTTACTTCCTTCCTTTGGTGCTTCAAATTTATACAGCTCTAGAGAATAAACCACAATAAATATTCTATGTCTCCTTATACTATTGAATTAAAATTTCAGTTAATATCATTTACAAGAAAACAGTAAAGATTATATGCAGAGAAAAAAGTAAAATGAACTTTGTGTATTATGAATAATTGCTAGAGAGGTCCATATTCCCATCTTGCTCATAAATTTGCCAATAGCAACAACTTTCTGGGCTCCAATTTCATTTTGGGTAGCTAGGCAGCTAGGCTGGAAACTCCTCGTTTTTAGTTGCCTGGATGAATCATGTGTGTGTCAGCTTCCAATTGTCTGTTTCACTTGATATTGACTTCCAACGGGTTTGCTTTCCTTTAGGCCACATAGACACAGGGTTTCACCATGTTGGCCAGGCTGATCTTGAACTCCTGACCTCAAGTGATCCTCCCACCTTGGCCTCTCAGGATTACAGGCATGAGCTACCATGCCCAGCCTACAATTGTTGGGAAGGATGCAGTGGGGGTAGGGGGCCTAGTTTTGTATGCCACTTCTCAAATTTTTGCTACCTGTCTGAATGTTAACATTTTACTTAGGAGTTACTATGTGCCAGGCATTGAGCTAGATAATTAGAGGTGTTCATTATTTGACTTCACGCTCTCAATCCTGAAAATTTTTCTTTATTTTTAAACAGAGGAGGATATTGGGGCTCAGAGCAGTTAAATGTGTAGCTCAAAAATCACACAGCTTCTTTTTGTCAGAACTAGGAATTGAACTTAAGTCGACACTTACTTCAAAGCCTATAAACTTATGTTATGGCCTCTAATGTGAACACAGAGGTACTTAGAATGATAAACGCACACTCTTCATGGTGACATGATTTGACCTAAAGCTAAGCAGCAAAGCATGAATCACTGGTTGTGTCAGTCACTGCAAAAGCTGAACATTCCAAGTTGATCATCTCAAGGAGATAACCAATTTCACAAAACATTGCCTGTGTTACGCTCAGGAGTTTAGGCTTGGCTGTACTAAATGGAGGATCCAGAGGCAACATTAAACTTTCATATAGGTTTGTCATGTGTTTTTGTTTTTTGGGACAGGGTGTTTTTCTGTCACCTAGGCTAGAGTGCAGTGGTACAATCATAGCTCAATATAACCTCAAACTTCTGGGTTCAAGCAATCCTGCCTCATCCTCTGGAGTAGCTAGGGCTACAGGTACGTGCCACCAAGCCTGGATAATTTTTCTGTTTCGTGTAGATGGGGTCACTCATTGCCCAGGTTGGTCTTAAACTCCTGGCCTCAAATGATCCTCCTGCCTCAGCCCCTCAAAGTTCTTGGATTACCGGCACGAGCCACAGCACCTGGCTGGTTTTTAAAAATTCTGATGATAAATCTCTTCAGACAGAAATGTACTCTCTTATTCTTCCTTATTGTGTCACACTTGGCCTACTTCACTTATACATGTTATTTGCCTAATTCCTGTAGGTACTTGAGAATGTAACAATGGAAGAAAATATGAAGCCACTGAAAGTTTTAAGCAGGAGAGTGACACAATCAGGCAATTATAATGGACTCCTCCGGCTACTGTGTGAAGGAAGAGCTGGAAAAGAAAAGCCAGATTCAGAGAAGATCAGAAGCTCTTGTAAATGTTGAAAACATGAACTGAGGTGATGACAGTGGTAATGGAGAGGAGGGAACACATTTGAGATACCTGAAGAAGGCAGAAACTACAGAACTTAATGATTAGTTAGCAGTAGTGAGTTGAGAGTGAAAAGGAATGACAGCATGACTGGCTTAGACTACTCTGTAGCTTGCATGGCATAAGAAAGAGATCAAATAGATGTAAAAGGTTTGAGAAGTAAAATTAATTTGGATGGGATGTGCTAAATTCAAGGGGTCTTAGCTTATGCAGATGAAGATGTTCAGGAGACAATTGAAAACACAGGTCTAAAGCTCAGCGGAGACAGATCTAAGCTGGGATTTACGGGCATACATGTGGCTAGGTGCAAAGAATCTGAAATGAAGTTGCCTATGCAGAACTGAGGAATGAGGAGAAGGGCAAGAAAAGGGTAAAGTGCAGGTGGAAGCCAGTGTTTAAAGTGCAAGGAAAAGAAAAGGAGGCAGTGACAGAGGAAGTAGCATCACAATACCAGGAGGAATACAGTCCAAATTAATAGAAATAGGAGAACATTTGGTGAGAGCCTAGTCAATACGCTCCCATACATGAATTAAAGCAGTATTCCCATTCCCTCTCTCCACAATTACAGAGGTGACACAGACTGCTTACAACTTCAGCTTTATCAAGATCTTGTAGTCTTACCGTCCTGTGAGTTCCATGAAGGCATGTGCCCAGATCATTTAAATGACTGAATGAGTTATTCTAGCAAATTATGGTTAATATCACCTCCTACAACTAAGGTTAAATACATTTTACCAAAGTATACCCTATACTGCTTGAGGTTTCTCTGTCTTTTTATACTGGCATAATTACTTTCAGAGTACTGGCTTTATGTGGAGCTACTGAGGGTGTTTGTTAAAGTACATGCGATGACACCACAGAGGCCGTGTACCTGTGCTCAGGGCACTGCTGAGGCAAGCTGGGCTGCAGCCATGCACACGCTCACTTAGGCCTCACCAGCCTCTCAGGGCTGGTCTTTCCAGAAGGAGCTCTCAGCCTATTCAATCTTCATCTGCTGATCATGTCAAAGCATATTGGACAAACAAGCCAAAAACAAGCTTGCTTTAAGTGAAACATGCTACACAGAATATGATGTCAGGCAATTCTCTTGTAAATTTATTTGTCAAGAATATTCCTTTTTATAATATAATGTTCTTATATTAAGAGGTAGGTCTTACTATGATGCCCAGGCTGGAGTGCAAAGGCTATTCACAGGTACATTTGTAGCACACTGCAGCCCTGAATTCCTGGCTTCCAATGATCCTCCTGCTTCAGCTTCCCAAGTAGCTGGTTCTACATGTGCCTGACACCATTGTGCTTGGCTAAAGTTACATGTTTTACATTTAATTTTTATACAAAGTTAATTGTGTATTAAAGGCATATTTGGCTGGTCACAGTGGCTCATGCTTATAATTCTAGCATTTTGGGAGGCCAAAGTGGGAGGGTTACTTGAGGCCTGGAGTTCAACAGCAGCCTGGGCAACACAGGGAGACCCTGTTTCTAATAAAATAAAATAAAAATACATACACACACACACACAGGGATATTTATGTGAGGCAGGGCATAATGGGAATAATACCCTAGGTTAATAAATTTAACTGTTACCCTTTCTGCTGCAACTCACAAGTACCACAGTCAGGCTTGCCCTCATTTTGTTTTGCATAATTATCTATTGGCTAAAATATCCACCATTAATTTTGAAACCTGAAGTCAATGGAGATGAAGACACTTTGCCTTGGAATCAAGTAAATACCCTTTTTTTTCCTTTTCTTTTTGAGACAAGGTCTTGCTCTGACACCCAGGCAGAAGTGCAGTGGCACAACCATAGCTTACTATAACCTTGAGCTCCTGGGCTCAAGCAATTCTCCTGCCTAAATCTGAGTAGCTAGGACTATAGGCATATGCCATGAGGTCCAGCCAATTTTTAAACTTTATTTATTATTTCTATTTATTTATTTGAGAGATGGGGTTTCACCATGTTGGCCAGGCTGGTCTTGAGCTCCTGACCTCAAGTGATTTGCCCACCTCAGCCTCCCAAAGTGCTGGGATTATAGGCATGAGCCACATGGCCAACTTTATTTGTTACAGAGATAGAATCTAGCTATCGTGCCCAGGCTTATCTCAAACT